TAGGTAGTCAGAGTGGATAGGCATGAAATGAGGGTTCAGATGTTAGCTGCCATGCGGGAAGTGAACCTGTTCGAGCGGGCAAGTGAGGAATGGGTGTTCAGGCAATAGCTGCCATACGGGACGTGCACCATCCTCGAGCGGGCACGCGTGGAACAGGGGGTTTAGATAATTAGTTGGCATTCTTGAAATGAAATATACCCGAGCGGGCACGAACGAAGTGGCCTCGGTGAGAAAGAGCGCGTTTTGTGGTCGCTTGGCGGGGGGGGGGGTTGGAACCGCCCCCTTGGATTGAAGGGGGGAGGGTTCAAACCCCTTCTCTTCCGTGACGGAGGGGGGAGGGTTCAAACCCCCCACTTTTGGGCTCTCTCTTCCGTGACGGACGGGGGGGGGGTTCTCCCCTACTCCTCTTTCTTTTTCTTCGGGCTGGCGCTGGCGTCTCCACTGCAGCGTGCCGCGGTGGCGGCCCGCGGAAGTTGCCGCGTGGGGTCGCTGTGCCATCATACCCGTTTTTGATCGTCGCTCGTATGGGCTTCGAGCCCCTCGGCCGACCGTCTGGGGGGCATTTGTGAAGCCTCCTGGGCGCCTCTTGGGCGTCTTTCGGGACCTCTCAGCGGTTGTGGTGGGTTGTGGTGGTGGTGGTGGCGGTGGTGGTGGAGGTGGTGGTGGTGGTGGTGAGGTGGTCGTTATTGATGGTGATGGTGGTGGTTGTAGCGGTTGATGTGGTGGCGGTGGTGGTGGTGGTGGTTGTGGCGGTGGTGGTGGTAGTTGTGGTTGTGGTGGTGGGTTGTGGTGGTGGTGTTGGTGGCGGTGGTGGTGTGGTGGTTTGTCATGGTGGTTGTGGTGGCGATAGTGGTTGTGCCGCGAAGTTGTTTGTGATGGGGATGGTGGTGGTTGCAGTGTTGGTGGTGGTGGTGGTGGTGTGGTATTTTGTTGTGGTGGTGGTGGTTGTGGTGTGGTTTGTGGTGGTGGTGGTGGGTTCTGGTGGTGGTGTTGGCGGTAGTGGTGGTGGTTATGGCTTCATGGTTTGTGATGGTGGTGGGTGTAGTGGCGGTGGTGGTGGTGGTGGCAGGTTGTTGTGGTGGTGGTGGTGGTCGTGGTGGTGGTGGTGGTGCTGGTATGGTGTTTTGTTGTCGTGTCGGTGGTGGTGGTGGTGGTGATGTGGTGGTTTGTGGTGGTGGTGGTGGTGGTGTGGTGGTTTGGTGGTTTGTGGTGGTGGTGGTGGGTTGTGGTGGTGGTAGTGGTGGTGGTGGTGATAGTGGTGGTAGTGGTGGTGGCGGTGGTGGTGATGGTGTGGTGGGTTGCTATGGTGGTGGTAGTGGTGGTTGGTTGTTGTTGTTGTGGTGGTGGTGGTGGGTGGTAATGCTGGTGGTTGTGGTGGTGGCTGTGGTGGTGGTGGTAGTGTGGTGGTTTGTGGTGGTGGTGGTGGTGGTCTATGGTGCTGGTGGTGGTGGTTGCCTCGGTGGTGGTGGTGACTTGTTGGTTTGTTGTGGTTGCGGTTGTGGTGGTGGTTGTGGATTGTGGGTGGTGGTAGTGGTCGTCGCGGTGGTGATTGTGGTGTTGGTGGTGTGGTGGTTTGTGGTTGTGGTGGCGTTGGGTTGTGGTGGTGATGCGTTGTGGTGACGGTGGTGGTGGTGGTGGTTTGGTTGTTTATGGTGGTGGTGGTGGTTGTGGTGGGTAGTGGTGGGTTGTGGTGGTGGTGGTGGCGGTTGTGGTGGTGGTGGTGGTGTGCGGTGGTTTGTGGTGGTGGGGGTGGTGGTGGTGGTGGGTTGTGGTGGTTGTGGTGGTGGTGGTTGCGGTGGTTGTGGTTTTGGTGTGGTTGTTTGTAGTGGTGGTGGTGGTGGCGTGGCCTTCGGGTCTTCCCGTGACCGTGTCTTGGCTTTGTGTTGTAGTCCCAATGGATGCCTCCTAGAGTCTCGTCAGAGGGGTCCGGGGGCGTCTGAGGAGCATGTGTGAGGGCTCCTTGGCGCCTCTTGGGCGTCTCAGGAAATTTCCTAAGGGCCCCCGGTGGCTTTTGGGAACCATAGTATCGATATGGCAAATTGAATTTTCCCGTGGCGGCTTCTGGGCTCTCTCTGGTCATCGTCGCTGCGGCTGCCGTTGGTGCTGCCGGCCGCCGCCAGCGCAGGCGCCAGAACCGGCACCGAGGAGAGAGAGGAGGGGGAGGGGGGGGTTCGAACCGCATGCCGGACCAATAACAATCAATTGGGACCAATTTTCAATCGATTGGGACGTTTCTTAACCGGCCAAAAAACCAATTGGTGCCAATCACAATCAGCCGTTTCCGGCCTACAATCGGATTCCTTGTGTCCAGCATTTTAAGACGATTCAGACATCAAGTGAACGTCTTAAGGATACACATTCATTTGGGGGGTCAACATGGGTGCCCCAGTTGAAGTTGGTACCAGTTTACTGTTTACTTGTTGTGATTTGGGAGCTGTGTTGTTTTGCAACAACTCACAATAACACATCTCATCTCAACAACAGCACGCATCTCCCACAACAACATACATTCACAGCACAGATCCACACACCTCCCACAACAACGCATTTCAAAAGACCGGCTTATCATCCTCGTTATCATCGGCCGTTGTTACCTTCCTCTTTCCTTGCCTCTTCCCTCCTCTTCGTCCTCATCATCTACTTCGTGCCGCATTCTTCGTCTTCCTCTTTTTGTTCCCCTCCTGCTTCTCTCTTACTCCTCCTCCTCCTCCTCCTCCTCCCCCTCTTTCTCGTTTTCCTCTTCCTTTTCCTCCCTATCCCTTTCCTCTTCTTCTCCCTCCCTTTCCTCCTCCTTCTGGTCATCCTCCTCCGGCGGGGGGCAAGGCGACTCGTTCGGCCACGCTCTCCCTCCCCTTGGCTTCGGGGGCTTCCCGAATCCCCGAGGGCACGAAACGCTTCCATCTGAAGCGTCGCCCTCGGAGCCAGGGGAACTCCCGCAATCGTCGGCAGTCATGGGGAACCCATCGGGCGTCCCTAGGAAATATCCAAGATTGGCTGGGATTCTTGAAGGATCCTTCAAGAATTGCCAAGAATCCTTTGCAGGAAACATCAGGAAGTCTGCAGAATCCTCAAGCGCCCTCGGGAATCCGAGAGGGATCCCACAAGAATCCTTCAAGAATCCACAAGAACCTCAGGAATCCACAGGACATCTGAGGAATCCGCAGGGCACCTAATGAATCCGCAGGATTCCATGGGAATCTCAAGGAAACCTCAGGAACCCGCGGGAATCCTTGAGGAATCCTCCACGAGTTCTTCAAGGATTTCCAAGTTGTTCTGCGGAATCATTTGCAATCCCAGGGATCCACAGGACACCGAAGGAATCCTCAGGAACCCTTCGGAATTCAAAGGAACCCGCGGGAATCCTTCACGAAGCACACAGGAATCCTACAAGAAACCTTCAGGAATCCTTTCGGAAACCTCCAGGGACCCGTGGGAAACCTAGAGAACCTTCAAGAATCGTTGAGGACTCCTTCATGAATTCTTCAAGAGTTTAGACTTTGTCAGGAATCCGCCGGACATCCAGGATGAATCCTCCATCAATCTTCTAAGGAGCCTCTACGGAGCAACTAAGGGAGCCTCTAAGGAGCGCCTCTCTAAGGAGCCTCTAAGACAACCTTTAAGGAGCCTCTACGAAGCCTCTATGGTGCCTCTAAGGAGCCTCTAAGGAGCCTGTAAGGAAACCTCTACGGAGCCTCTAAGGAAACCTTTGAGGAGCCTGTAAGGAAACCTTTAAGGGGCCTCTAAGGAACTTCTAAAGAGCCTGCAAGGAGCCTCTAAGGAAACCTTTTTAAGGAGCCTGTAAGGAGCTTCCAAGGAGCCCCCATAAGGAACCTCGAAGAATCCCACCAACAACCTTTTTTTTAAACAATTGTTGAAATGCTTGTGATTGGTCCCAGTTGGTTGGGGTTGGGACCGGAATGGTTGGAATCCGTCCCAGATGCGTCCCATTTTCGGTTCGACCCCGGGGAGGCCCCCTGGTTCTGATCGACGGTGCCGAGTGTTTGTGGGGGGGGCACCTCCCTGTTCGAAACGCGCCGCCGAATGTTTCCAAGGCAAGCGCCCGTGAAACGCGTTTCTCTTCGGTGAGCAGTGGAGGGGCAGTCCCTTCTAAGGTCCCTTCTGGGAATTCAACAGACCCTACCAGACAGACCTTTGCACTCTTCAACGCCTTGACGTGCTAGGGGGCACGGTGTCGGATCTCGCTCTCATGGGAGCACCGAGCGCAAACTAATAGTCGTTCTTGGAGTTCTGCGATCTTGCGAATGCAGGACACAGTGCTCGCCCTATCAGAAGCTGTACCTCGAGGGCTGATGATAAGAAGGATGAATGAAGGGTAGCAGGATGAGGATACGGAGCAAGGCGAAGGAAGGGGGGGAACTCGAGGAGGAGGAGGAGGAGGAGGAGGAGGCTGATGGGAAAGAGGATGAGCAGGCCGGGGGATTCTGAGAGGACGAGGGTTGAGGAGGACGGGCTGATAAGGAGGAGGGATGATCAGAAGGAGGAGGATGAGGGGGAGGGGGATGTGGAGGCTGATAAGGAGGATGACGGGGGTGGGGAGGAGAATGGGGAGGATGATGTGAATGAGGGGGAGGGGAGGAGGAAGAAGGGGAAGTGAAGCGGGAGGATGAGGAGGGGGAAGGGAGGAGGAGGAGGCAGGAGAGGAGGCTGAAGACGAGGAGGGGGAGGAACGGAGGAGGAGGAGACGGAGGAGGAGGAGGAGGAGTTGTAGGATGACAAACAGTGGGTGGGGCAGTGGGAAGGGCGCGCATGAGGACGATTGCGGCGACCCCTGGGCCTGTTAAGAGGCGCGACTGGGCCAGCATCTCGATGGGAGTGCGGCCGCGGCGACGAGAGCGCCCTGCGGCCCTCGCATTCTCGATTTTCGGCCTTCTGCGACGACACCCAGAATCTCGCAACTCAAATCTCGAGTCCTCGGTCCTCGATCCTCGAACCTCGATTCTTTAACCTCGCCGTCGACGACGACGCCCAGAGCTCGCCAGGCAGCGGCGCCGGCGCCAGGGCAGCCGGCCGCTGGGAAGGAGGCCATCGGGGCGGCCGGCGGGGCCGCCCCGGGACAGTCGATCGGACGATAGCAAAGCATGGGAGCCTTGCGCAGCGGTGTCTTTAGAGTGCATTCGCGTCGGTTGTCGTTTGGTAGCAGATGGGATAGCGCTGATGTAGCGGATTAGCGTCGATTTAGCGCCGACTAGCGTCGATTCGATCAGCGTCAGTTCGCGTCGATTCGCAAGAGCCAACAAGATGATCGTCGGACGGGGCCAGGACGAGGAGCGTTCTTGAAAACGCTCTCTGAGCGTGCCGCAGCGCTCCGAGAAGGCGCTGGCGCCCCAGACATCCTCCAGAGCCGCTGGATCTTCGAGATTCTCGATTTACCCTCACCTCCTCCTCCCCCTCCTCCTCGTCCTGCTTCGCCTCCTCCTCCTCCTCCTCCTCCTCCTCCTCCTCCTCCTCCTCCTCCTCCTCCTCCTCTATCCTCACCCGATCTTATCCTCGTCCTTGCTTCGTCCGAGGTCGATAGAGTCGCAAACATGATGAAGGCGCGTGGGCCAGCAGCGGGCTTCCGCTTCCGTGCGCAATCGTCGCGCTCCAGCGCCAGATTGAGCGGCATGGGTGTCGCGTTTCGGGGGTGCCTTCCCCGATCCGTGAACGTGGCGCCCACGCGCACGATCCATGGATACCTATTTCATGTTAGCGCGTGCCCGAGACAGGAAGGGCTTCACCGAGGGGAGGGCTTCCGAGCTTCTTCACCGTTGTCGGCCTCTTGTGGGCCTTCCCCAGGCCCAAGGGTCCCAGGGCGTTGAGAAGCACGTTTTCGGTTGTTCCTCCTGGGAAGTAAAACTCTGACTTTGCCCTAGTCCAAAGTCGGGCCTAATTCGGCTTAATCCAGCTCCATCCCGCTTAATCCTGTTCAATCCCGTTTAATCCAGCTCAATCCCGCTTTATCCGCGGCCTAATTTGGCGTAACAACCCCCCAATGGGGCTTACTTATTTAATCGCTTCGCTCATTCCGCTGGCCCATAATGTCGCACCGTGGTCGCCTGTCCGAGTGGTCGTTTGCAGTGTGGAGCTGCGGCGTCGGGAGCTGTGTAGTGTTGGGGGCGTTCTTGGGGCCCTCTTGGGCCGTCCTGGAGGCCTCTGGGGCCGTCTTGGAGCCGTCTTGGGCCGTCTTGGGGCCCTCTTGGGGGCCTCTTGGGCCCTCTTGGGGCGATCTTGGAGGCCTCTTGAGCCGTTTAGGGGCGTCGGGGAACCGAAAAGGTTAAAACGCCCAAATCTGTCCAACACCAAAGGAAAAGCACAGGTTTTTGCCTCTTGGGAGTTCTCTTGGAGGCCTCTTGGGGCATCTTGGAGGCTGCTTGGGCCATCTTGGAGACGTCTTGGGCCGTCCGGAGGCCATCTTGGGCGTCGTGGGGCGATCTTCGGGCGTCTCGGACCTTTCTTGGACCGTGTTGGGGGCGTTCTTGGGGCCCTCTTGGGCCGTCTTGGAGGCCTCTGGGGCCGTCTTGGAGCCGTCTTGGGCCGTCTTGGGGCCCTTTTGAGGGCCTCTTGGGCCCTCGTGGGGCGATCTTGGAGGCCTCTTGAGCCGTTTAGGGGCGTCCGGGAACCGAAAAGGTTGAAACGCCCAAATCTGTCCAACACCTAAAAAAAAACATTGATTTTTGCCTCTTGGGGCCCTCTTGGGAGTGCTCCTGGAGGTCTCTTGGGGCATCTTGGAGGCTTGTTGGGTCATCTTGGAGACGTCTTGGGCCGTCTGGAGGCCATCTTGGGCGCCGTGGAGCGATCTTCGGGCGTCTCGGACCTCTCTTGGATTGTGTTGGGGGCCTCTTGGGGCCCTCTTGGGCCGATCCTTGAGGATCCGGGGGAGTGTCCCGGGCGTGTCTCGGGCGTGTCCCGGGCGTGGGCCCGGGCTCCTCCCGGGGTACTTTTGATCCAGGGACCCCCAGGGGCCGCCCCGCGCGCGCGAACTAGAAATACTGTTTACCAGTTGCCGGAGATCTTAGCACGCCTTTGGCCCGTTGGGCCGGCGAGTTTTTAATATTTCCGACGAAGGCCTCCCAGTAGTTGCTTCTTGACAAGTTGCTCAGGATGAGGGCCCAGCTTCGTATGTGAAGCCCTGGAGTCCGGGGCCCGTTTCCCTCAGGAACCCTTGGCCACCGTCACGTCGCCGTCGCCGTGGATCACCGCCGTCGTCGGCGATCGTCGGTCGGGTTCGATGCCGTCGATCGATCGACGATCAAGTTTTGAGGATCGAGCCTGCTTCATCGTCGTTGGGCGTCCACGGGCCTCTAGAGGCGTGTTCCTTTTCCTCGGCCGCCGAGCGGCAAGTCCCGACTGGCCCGGCGCCCCGCCCCACCGATGCCGTTGCGTGGGCGAGGCAGGGATCGCGGCTGTCCTGAGGGCGTTCGCGGTACACGCCGGTCGTTGGCAGTAGATATGTCTGAGTTCCCAGATCCCAATCAATTTCAGGCGCCGTCCGACTTCGAGAGTATGTATGCTTTGTTTCCTGTTGGTCGTTCTTTGGGCTGGCCTTGACCCAATCTTTTTTAGCCCCCTTTTTACTGCATGCTTCTTCCGTTTTCTCACTGGTGCCTTGCGTAGCAAAGACAACGGCCCTCTTACGATTCCCCGGTTCAATGTTGATTGATGTTGTCTCTCCTGTCGGCCAGGGCAAGTCGAGTCCAGCGCGCTCCTCTTGCATCCGACGATGGGGATGGAGGGGGAAGGATGTTGCTGGAGGGCGAGGGGAGGGGGGAGGGGTGGGGGGGAGGATGAGGGGGATGAGGGGGAGACGGAGCGGGCGGGGAAAGGGGGAGGGGGAGGATGAGGCTGGAGGGGGAGGACGAGGCTGGAAGACGAGGAGGGAAAGGAGGGTTGGACGCGGCCCCAGTGCCTCTCCCAGGGTGCGATTGTTTCTCGGGGGGTCCGGCCGGGTCGACGAGAGCGCACAGATCGATCGACGACGGCGACGACGACGGCCCGCCTAGGCCGAGGCGGAGGCTGCGGCCGGGGAGGAGGCGCCGTGATGACGGCGCTCCTCCCCGCCCGGTAGCAGGGAACCGCGCGTGCGGTGGCGGGGGCGGGCTCGACACCGCCAAGGGCGCAGGGGGGGCGGGCGGAGGAGGGAGAAGGAGGGAGGAGGGAAGAGGAGGGAGGGAGGAGGAGGGATGGGGAGGAGCAGGAGGAGGAGGAGAGGAGGAGGAGGAGGAGGAGGAGGAGGAGGAGGAAGGGGAGGGGGGAGGAAGAGAGGAAGGGGCGGGGAGGGAGGGTGGGAGGGAGGCCAGCCACGAAGTAGCTTCCAAATCCAGGTCGGCGGAGGGCGGGGATGGGGGTGGCGTCGGCTCCACGTGAAGCCCAACTTTGGGTCAGCCAGAGGGCACATCCTCGAAAATCAGGGCCGAAGCCCGCGACCCCATCATTGTGCCGCAATGCTCCAGCAGGATCGATCCGTGGGGGTTCCAGATGCCCGCAAAACCGAGCGAGAGCGCCAAGTGCGCAAAAATTGCAGCGCTCGCATCACAGCGCATTCTCTGCGGGTGCAATCGGCGCTGGGGTACCCCGCTGGGGCCACTTGGGCCGCAGACTTCCTTCGAGTTCTGAGTCATACTTCGAAGGACGTCGCACGAATGTCTGCAAGAGCGGCTGGGTGTCAAAATTTCTGACCCCAAACGCTGTTTCGAAATTCTGACCCGCAAGGGATTCACACGTGAGGAATTTACAGAAAGGGCCTCGCCTTCGAGAGTCGAGGAGTCGGCTGCTCTTCCTCGGCGGAAGGCAGCCGAAACAAAACCAGGGCGGTTCCAGCGGAAGCCGCGACGGCAGTGCAAAGTTGCCCTCAAGAGATGGTAGCATTTTGGGTTCTGGGCTTCACGTGGTTGCCTAACGTTGTTTCGGTAGTAAGTCATGGGAGCCTTGTATACCCTCGCAGTTTTGTCGGAGCCGATCATTGTCGATTAGCGCTGGGTAGTTGACGAGATATCGCTGATTTAGCGTCGATTAGATGTTGATAGTTGGCGAGCTAGCGCTGATTTAGCGTCAATTAGCGTCGGTGAGTGTCGATTTGGCGTCGATAATCGTCGGCTAGCGTCGATTCGCAAGAGCCGACTATATTCTACAATAGGTTCATGCGGCGATTGCGCGCCAGCGGAGCTGGCGAAGGCGTTCATGGTTGAAGAACGCATGATAGAGCGACGCGGCTGTTCAAGTAGTTTTGTTTGGCTGCTCGAAATCATTTCTGGGATGTTGCCCTTCATCGTACGGGAGGGTCCCATGTCATCGAGGATCAAAACACCCCTATCCGTAGTAACACGATGAAGGCGTAGCCTCACTGAGGTCCCCTCCTTTGCATTAGGGATAATAGATGTGGGCGGTCTGGTTCGAAACATCTGTAGGACAGACCCCCTATCTCTCATGTTTCTGGCCTTCCTAACCGACGTCCCCTCCCAAAGGGTTGGGGTTTTTGGAGTTTAGTCACATGATCCCAGGCCTGGAGGTTGACAACAACACCAATATCGGCAGTGTGCTCCAACCGAGAGAAGGAGCTCCCGATCTCGGCGATGGTGGTCATATCCTGTCTTCCAGGGTGACCGAAACATTACCACCAACACCAACATCTAGGACCATCTCCCACCTGTGGAGGCAACCCCCTGTGTTGGAATTGGTGCCCATGCCCAGGACTCCAACATGATCGGGGGTGGACAAAGCCCCCACCCTGACACGTCGATTAGTGAATTGTCCGTGTTCGGTCCGAGAGGGCGTCGCGGCCGTCGTTCTCCAGGCTGGCGCCCGCCAGGTTTGTGCCCGAGGTCGTTCACCAGGCCACCTTTTACGAAAGGGGCTTCTGTCTCTCCGACACGAGTTGCCACCGAACGCTGCTCACCGCGGCCCAGGGGCGCGGCGCGCCTCCGCGCGCTCGCGGGCCCGCGCCGCAGCTGGGGGGGGGGGCGTCGCGGCTCGCGCTTCGCTCGCGGCGCGAGCTCGGAGCGGCGGCGCGGCCCGGGGCCGTTCGGCCAGGGCGCGGCGCAGAAGAGCGGCGGGCTCTCCCCCTCCTCTTCCTGATCCTCCTCCCCCTCCTCCTGTTTCTCCTCAACTTCCTCCCTTTCCCCCTCCTCCTCTTCCTCCCCCTCCTCTTCCTCATCCTCTCCCCCTCCTCCTCGTGCTCCTCCTCTCCCTCCTTCTCTTTCTCCTCCCCCTCCTCTTGCTCCTCCTATCCCCCTCCTCCTCGTTCTCCTCCTCTCTCTCCTGATCCTCCTCCTCCTCCTCCTCCTCATCCTCCTCCTCTTCCTCCTCCTCCTCCTCCTCCTCCTCCTCTCTCCCCCTCCTCCCCCTCCTCCTCTTATTGGTCCTCCTCCACCCTGTTGACCTTGCTCGAACTTGATGCAGCAGCATGGAGCGTTGTTGGATGCAAGACAGAAAAAGGGACGCCGAAGTAGTGATGTGAAACACAAATTAGACTTGGCTGGCGCAGCATAAAAAAAAGGCACTCCATTACGGGCACAGAAAATGCTCCAGCCAGGCGGTCTGCGAGGAGGAGGAGGAGGAGGAGGAGGTAACGAACGACTCAAAACCTTAGTAACAGCCGAGATGAACTAGAGGGATCCGAACGATCGAAGAACGAACGAACTACACGTGCAGCAGTAGCCAAGCGAAGCGTTGCTATGCCCGGAGTTGTGCTGATACCCCCCATCCATAAGTAGCCACATCATAATCAATTTTCTTTTATCCGTCCAGGCGTGCAGCGTCTGAGCATAACAGAAGGCAAAGAGTAGCAGTTCAAAGCAGCAATGCAAGCGTCGCTAGGGAGGAACAGTGAGTTGTGCCGACTGGCAGCGCGGCACGCAGTAGAGCGACCTACAGTATTAAAGATGGCTGGCCTGTGATTGATTTGCAGGCTTGATGCCCACTAAGTGGCTTGCAGGAGCTAATTGGCTCGAGTGTGGCTGGCCATTGCTATTTACTGCGATCAGGCTGGCAGCAGTGCGACCGGGTAAACTTGCTGGTGCCGCCTCCTTCCCCTCACATACATTACCTGCCAGCCACCCCTCGCGAGTAAAAGGATTGCATGTGCATGCGTACCACAACTTGTATACGTTGGCTGGCAAAACGTGTAGGCTGGCCTGCGCAAAGAAAAGATGAAAAGAGTAAAGCCGGCCTGAATGGTTGCTGTGCTGAGGGGTTGCCGCAAATTGAAGACGTTGACATGTGGTCAAATATGCAAAGTGTAGAGCCCTCTTCAACTCCACGTCCTCCTCTGCCTCACCTCCACCCCATCCTAGTATCAGTATATATATATATACATATTGAAATCTTGGCATGAGGAAACACAGCAACTGGAGTGTGCAGCATGGGGCAACTATTGGGCTGCTACCAAGGGTTTTTCGGTGTACCCCTCATTTTCATGACCGCTGGACCTCCGTGTTTTGTGTAAACTGCTTCCGGATTTAGTACGAACCCTTGTAACAATATGTTGGCTCAGTAGAGCTTGGCTGGCCTGTAGAGGTTGGATGAGGGGGCCCTCCTTGTATCCAGGGGGCCCTGAAAGATAAAGTGCTCACGGCTGAAGTGCATTGCCGAAACGGCGCAAGGTTGGGCAGAGAGACCGTTGTCGAGTAGTGGTTGCCTCGAGTGCGGTGGGTGAAACAACACGGCGGTGACTGTGGTTGGATATTGAGGAAGCTGATTGCTTGGAGCAGTCATTGTAAAGTAGGCTGATATGCATTCTGGAATACAGCGGCAGATAGTCCAGCCGTCCCCCCTCCCCTACCTTGATGGGCCAAGCCAAGCCCCATCTACCCCACGAGTGCATGTCAATGGGCTGGCGCTGCCTGGCCTTAAATATGAGAGTTGGGCGTGATGGTTTGGTTGTAAAGTAGGCAGAGGCGTACAGTCTGGAGCCAGGTTAGCTGAAATGGCAGCGAATAAGGCTAGAGAGCAGATAAGATGTTGCACAGGCGGCGCATGAAAATTCATGATGCCTGCAGCGTAAAGGGAGGACTGGCAACTGTGAAGCTTTGCGAGGCTAGATGGGACCACCACCTGCAACTAGTGGGCCTGAAGGAAGTAAGTGTCGAACTGCTGATGCTGCTGAAGGTAGATAGTAGACCTGGTGCGGCTCGTCAGCAGGCAGCAACGACGGGGACGAAGAGAAGGGGAGGTGACGCTCCGAACAAGCCGATCGTCGAAGTCCTATGCGTCCGCAAGCGGACACAGAGGACCTCGGCCTTCACCAGCCATCATCAAGGCACTGCCCCTTGGGGGGGGAGGAGTTGCCAACAGCGGCGAATTGAGCGGGGGAAGCGAGAGAAACAGGGCAGACGAAACGACCGAACGTCGGACGCCAGGATTATAGCAGGAGGAGCTTTGATAACAACATGCTAGGGAGTAGATCGCTGAGTTGCAGACTGTTCTATGTGCTTAGTGAAGATGAGGTCGATGTGTTTTGTGGATGGTGGCCGGTCGGTAGATTTTACATCTGTGGTGACAAGTATTTGCAGGCTGCTGTGTAGTGCAAATGCCCCTGCAGCCTCTCCCCGCGGCGTGCCTTGTAGGCTCCCGTTCCAGGTATGAAGCGGGTTGCAGTCATGGTAAAGGTTTGCGTCGTTGGAATAGGTCATGCGTTGTTGTGGTCTTTCTTTGAGGTATGCTTTTGTTGGCTCCTTTGCCAGTTATGAGGCGGGCGGCATGGACTTTTGGTGGCTGGCTATGAGGCCTCTCCCTGAGGCATTCAGGAGGGGAAACACACACAGACACGAGTAACCGTCGAATTCCCGGAAAACATAGGAACGTATGGGAAGTGGGGGAAGACGAACACCCAGAACATATGGGAACGTGTGGGGAATCTTGGGATGTGTGTCTACTTATGTGTGTGTGTGTGTCCTTGGGCCCCTTTAGGCATGCCTTGCGGGGCTCCCTTGCCAAGTGTGAGGCAGGCCGTAGCCGTGTGCAGTTTTGCGTAAACATGCCGTCGGGTGTAGCTCAACACAGTCGTGGTCGTAGTAATTCCGAATGTGCATCAAGTTGCCAGATC